TGTCTCATCAAACCCCAGCACAGTATGTTTCCTGCTGCTGTTTTGTTGCTTTTTTTCTTATCGTCTATAACCATGAATGTTAGTGTTGCTCATTTCACTGGTTAATTGCCACTGGTAATTAAGCCTGTCATACAGAAGAAGAAGAAATCAAAGTTTAAGATAATTTTTATTGGCTTTTTTATAAGAGAAAATAAGACAGAAAGAAAAAAAGAAAGCGCACTGACATGTTGTTCACATAAAATGTTGTGAAATGGAGAGGAAATGAACCGATGGCATAAACAAATCCATTTTAACCAATCTCATCATTTGCTAATGCGATGAACCCTGCTACATGTTTCACACATTTTGCACATTTTCATTTACATATTTCCTATTTAATGTGTATCAGGATTTTCTCTTTATTCACCATAGAAAATCCTTATTTTCCTCTCTGTTTCCTCTTTGATGTATTCTCTTGCTGTATGCTTTTAAACTGCTTCCTTTCCACACGGGAATCATTTAACTTAATGAAATTGCAAATAAAATCTTGCTCTGTGCAGACAGCAGCTTTAGAGGTGGCCATATTAACATCATGACTCTAAGACTCTATTGTCTGCTGGGGAGCTGGTCCATCACTTGTAGACGTCGGCAACTATTGGATTATTATCATTATTATTGGAACATTTTTGGCATCTTTAATTTTGAATGAAATAGCTTAAACGCTGTAGGATAGATTACCATAAAATTGGTGGATTCATTGGGGTGTGAATCATGCAGACTCTACCTCCCTCTAGACCTCCCTCTATTCATTAATGGTTGTCCCTGCTAGTCACACCAACAGTTTTTATGTTACTTCAAAATTATAATGATCAAAATTCACTTTCTGTGTAGAAAGACTTAGAAGACCGCAGATGGTCAGAAAACACTTAAATATACCCTATATTCTACGAAGTACAAAGTTCAACAACAAATGAAATAACCAAATAAGTTCTTCAGATCTGTGGTTTTATATCTGCTGACCAGAGAGAAAGAAAATGCCCATTAGTTTAAACCAAAAACGTCATAATACTACTTCCATCCATTCTTTATCATTATGCCACTGCATTCCACTGTGTCTGAGCTTTCATTGAGGTACATCCCCATTTGTGAGCCTTAATAAAAAAAAAGAAGCCAGTCTGCCTCAGATTGAGATGATCTGGTGGTTTTGATTACACAGATTTGCTTACAGCTCGGTAAGCCTCTGTTTGCAGTCACAATAAAGCTGCAATAAAAGAAACCAAGACGATAAATATGGAGAAATGGAATATGTTTGCAGTGCCTTGAATGCTCTCCACACACACACACACACACACACACACACAGTTTGCAAGGTTGGGTAAATCATTCTACTCACATGTCAAAGAGACAAATACAAGCCTGCAGTGTGAGGGTTTCTTTTGTGCCCACAGGCATGTACACAGGGGTGGAAGAAGTCAAAGCAGAGCTAAATTAGCAGCTGTAGCAGAGAAGAAGTGGTTCATTTAATGCACCACCCGACATCCAATGTTCCAAATTAAACAACGCTGCTGTGTTGGATGACCAACAGGTACATTCTGGTGTCCGGCTGTATGCTACAGAAACGCTAAAAGCACTGACGCTGTATCTGTCACCTGGGACTTCTATGTTCACTTCCACCATCAGTGAGTGAGCACTTTCTGCTGTTGGCGATAATCCCTGTAACTGCAAAACTCGTCTGTCTTTGAAACTTGAGCTCAGTGAGACGGAGACGAGGGAACTGGTTGTATTTTACAGTGAGACCAGATAATAATAAGAAGAGAGAGGTTGGATAGATCAGATCAACAATGTGCTTCTTTTGAAAGAACAATGTGAGTTTGAATTTCGGAGTTTCAATTATTTTCCCTGGTGTCATTGCTTGAATAAGTCCGAAATACACTGATCTTTATTTCAGTGTGTGTGTGTGTGTGTGTGTGTGTGTGTGTGAGGTGTTTGTGGACCCAAAGCCTTGTTTATAGGTTTGAGAATATTTCACTCTCTCTCTTTCTATCCCCCCATCCCTCCATCCCTCACTGTTCGATCCTGAGTTTACCTAAATCCCAGAATATGAATTTGATGTGAAGATGAGTATCCTTCACCATTGTAAATCCATACGCAAATCAAGGTTTTCCTTTGACGTTGCAGGTGAGCACTGTGAACCAATCAATGCCAACTGTCTACTGTTGATTATAACAACATTCTAATGGGACAAGATGTTGCAGCTTAATGTCTTCATTTACTGTAAAGGGGCAGTTAGTCCAAATTGTCAGAAAAACACATTCCTCTTTTCTAATGTGATGTTAAGTAGTTGCTTTTATTTGTTCACTTTTTATAATAGTCTCTCCTGGAAATAACATTGTATATTCCAATATTTCTTTGCCTGATACATTCTGGAGAAAAATCATATGCTACCTGTATAGCATAAATGCCTACAAATCCCATGTGGGTACAGGTGAATAGTTATTTTGAAATGTCCACATTTATTTTCATGATATTTTTGAGTGCGTATCTCGAATGGCAATTTTCTGAAAGTATTTTAGTTATTTTCCTGTGAGGGGACACATTTAATTCATCTCTCTCTCTCTCTTTCTCTGTGTGTGTGTGTGTGTCGTATTGGAGCTCAAGTTTTATTTATTTTCATAGTTCAACATTAATGCAACAACTCTGTCACCTCTAAATCACCTCATATACTATAAGGGAAACATGTTGCTGTCTGGATTATGTTCAGTGACGACTTTGTTTCCAGTGAAGGAAGTGCTAGAGTCCTGCATGTGGTGAGGTTTTACTGCAAAAACACTATTAAGGTCAAGGAAAAACCAGGGTTTTGATTAAATGTTAATAAAATAAATGCATCCTGTCTGTCCTTGTGGTCACTGTTGATTTTTGAAACATTTAACCCCCACCACATTCTTTCCTTAACCTTAACCAAGTGCTTAGAGTTACCTTAACATATTTATAAGAATGAAACTCATTTCCAAGCATAAAGCATTAATGTTGTTTTTGGTGCAGAGTACAGAAAAATAAAAGTGTGTTCTTTGGATTTTCAGGGGTAAATTTACCACAAAACTGTTTCTTTTCACCAAAAAAGGTTTAACTCAAGTTCCACTAACTAGATTTTTCTAAAGTTGTCAGTTGCGTGTCATAGTATTTCATATGATGAGATCCTGAGACCCTGAGTGATTTGTTATGGCAAGGCTAAAATTCAGCCCTAATATCCCTTTATTTGTATTCCACGTGTTTGCAGCAGAATATATTCACACAAGCGTACATTCTGTAGTAGAAGTACTCTCAATCAGTGTGAGGGCTGCAGGGCTATAGCTTTTGTGGACTAATCTATCACAGCTCTTGACAGCTGCTGTTGTTTAAATATGAAGCAGATGCTACAGGCGCTATGTTAGGGTGCACATCACTGCAGATTTTTCACTGAAATAATTTGCAGTGATGAATAAAACACAGATCAACCAGCCAGGATGTCTGTTTTTCTCTTCTCAGTAAATCCTATTAGACCAAAACCAACAACAACTGTAAGCTACCAGGTACTGTCTGTGCAGCCAGTCTGATGAAGCCCTTTCTGTTGAGGAATTCAGCTTCAATGTTGTAAAGACATATTTTTAAGTCTAACTGGGGTTAGAGTATTTCTACTCTAAACATCACGTTTTGTGCTTTCTGATTATATTCTGTATTTTTCCCAATACTGTGTTACAATGTAGGCCATTTGACAAGTTGCTAAGTATTTTATTCGTAGGATCATGCACCACAGACTGGGTAAAGAAATGAGAAACTGGTCAGAGTCTCTGTTCCTACTTGAGATGAACACTTCCCATGTACTGTATATAAACACTCAAGGTCTTTGACTCACTCACAATGTGTCTCTTCGTGCTTGGATGTTAATCTGAACAGGGCCAGAGAAGCAGACTCACCTTGTTTACCAATTCATTCAGTGAACATTTTGGCCAAACTCTTTTAAGAACTTAAATTGCTTCCACTTATTTTTTTTCCCAATAGTAATTCTTTCTTCCTCAGGCTTCAGATCTCCTGCCACACTCATTTCCTCCATTTGCCATTACCTGCCCTGGCTCTTCTCTCTGCTCCTCGGCTCCACCATCAAGCAACGTTTTACGGTTTGCAAGGTTACAATGTTACCATGTTTGAGCTTTTACTCAGTTTCTGTGTCTGAGTTCTGCATTATTGTCCACCACGTTCCATTGAGCTGAACAATTCTGTAGACACAGGCCCTTTTCACAAAGCCAGTATGATGAGAGAGTGTTGTGCGTTCATTCTGCCTCGCTGTTTTGTAGAAAGGGTACAATTACTGAAGGAGGGCATTGTTGCTCTGTTTTCAAGCCAAATTGACATCTGAATAAAATGGAGAGCTGGATGAGAACTTTTACATGTCACACTGCTGATTCTGGCATGCTGTGTAAAATCACACACTGAGGTAGCAATATGCTGCCTTTGTTTAGTTCAGTCCGGCACAATATCTCTGTTTAGATGGGGGTCAAGAGCAACATATTTAGTTTCTGTCCACCTGATGAACATGAGACAAATATTCACTCTCCTTTCACCTCTGGTTTGGTCTCTGTTTGGCAACTTTATATGTCCACTGTACGGTGCAGGTCAGACATGGCTCATGAGCTGTTGTGCAGTTGAATTACTCTGAAATACTGAGTGTAGTTCTGTAACAGGTAGATGCCAGTGAGCATGCTCAGAGTAAACCTTCACTGCTTACATGCTGAGAAGATGAATAAATGATGAATCATGATATGAATATTAATAATATTTCAAAATATTTTCCGCTTTCTTTATTTGAAGGTCAACATTGTAAAGAAAATTGGATTTATTTTCAAGCAGAGACATTTTTTTACCATCTTTGTTATTTTACATGATGTCCTCCTTTTCTTTTCTACACTCTCTGAGTAATGTGAACCTGTTTTATGACACTGAATCATTGGATGGTGGGATTTAAAAAGAAAACATCCTCAACTCACCTGCTTGGATGTTTGGGAGCAGCAGAGCTGCCAGAAATATAGCACATGTCTTCATCTCTCTCAGCCTGCTGCTGACCAACTTCACTCTTGAGGTCTTCAAAGGTAGCTTCAGACCTACGAGTGGGCTTCAGAGGGGGCTGCAGAGTGGTAAGTGCCAAGTTCACTGTGGGAGGCCACCGAAGGCACCTAGAGAAAATCACATCGAAATGCAGAGGACTCAGCAAGACATGTACAAATGGGTGAATGTAAAAGACTCCCTGGTTTACAGGTCTGTCACGTCTCTGTGCAGCCATGTCACGCAGTGCAGCAGTCTTTCAGAACTCACGCTTGTGTCTTAGCTTTATTTCATGCAACACTGTAGATTATCTTACTGTATGCAGGGGAGACACATATCAAATCACTTCAACAACACACAGGTTTGCAAAACTTACACGTAAGAGATGAAACCCAAATTCACTGCAGTTCAGACAAGTCGCGTTCAAATGTTTATTGCAACAGTAGGACATGTTAGTGTTTGGCATCTAGGCTCTGACTTCATTCTCTGCCCCCGATATGATTACACAGTTCTAATGGGAGTGATGAGCAAATACTTGTAACCCCCCCGTTGGAGCTTACAGGTGGATGCTGGGGTGGTGGAGGGGCTGAAGCAACTGATGCATAAGCAGCGGGGCAAGCTTGCTTAAAAAGACCGCCTAATAAGGAGGGTGTGTTTTATAGATGATTGTAGGGAGAGAGGTACGTCAGGTGATGTGTGTCACATGATTGGAGCAGCGCAGCTGGAGTTGGCTGCCTGAACTAGCTCGCAGGCGTTGCTCCATTTATCAGCATATGATCTGTAGCAGTGATACTTTGATGTGCTTGAGCCACTGCCAGTATGGACACACATGTACACGCTGAACCTTGCAGCAGTGGTACTTTACATTGACAATGAGTCCTGCTTGGATTCTACCTCACACTGCTGCTGCACTCAGAGTGTTCAACTTTGACCTTAAGTGACCTTTGGCCCCAGCCCTGACACTAACCCTCAACCCTAACTCTAACCCGGGCTGCTCTTGGAAGGTCTCTCTGCACAGCTGCCAACTCGGCTGGAGGTTCTTCCTTACCTGCGTGTAAAAGTCTGCCAAACATGCTGTGACACTGAGCGTTTTAAGTTATTTATCTCATTATTTAACAATATTTACTTCAGATTAACTTGTTTTTTTTGTGGAGATTCCCTTACTTTTGCACGACCATAAAATTGGCTGAACTGCTGTAGACGACGTGGCATCCCAATGCTGCCTTTAATTTAATGATCTCATGTTGACATGCAGAGAGCTCAGTGAGACTCTGTTTGACTATGGTAACAGAGTAAGTCTCAGTGTTCAGTCAGCTGTGGCAGTCAGCTGATTTCCTTACAGGAAGAAACACAGTTCACACTCATGATGGCTTAATGAGCCAGACAGAAACTTAAATTTCATTCAGATAGTTTGCTTGACTTCATGTTGCTCATGCTGCTTGTCCCTCTGTTATTCTTGCCGACACGTGTCACCTCGGTCCAGACATCTGCTCATTATGAATACAAGTGTGTGCATATGTTAATCTGGCTGTGTGCACATTCACAGGTCACAGCTGTGTAGTAATCACTGGGAAACATTTCACCCAGGTAATCTCCTCTGCAGATTGGAATCATATGATTATCTTGTCTAGCAGAAGATAAATCCCTGAGCTGCAGCGGAAACTAAAGAAAATTAAAGATTCCATTTCTTCCTGCTGGCAAAGTGCCCACTTGAACAATTATGAAAGTTGCAAGTGTCACAGTTACTTTAAATACTTTAACAGTGAAATTACTATTGTCAGAATCACAGTGTTTATATAATCTTGTCTCTAATCTCTATCTTTAAAGATGAGTCCTGGGGGTGTGGAGGTTTAGAGACGTACAGAGCCGGCAAGAGTCTCTTGAAAACATGGAATAGCTTTTATTTTTATACTAATTTCATTCATAGAGACAATAGAAAGATGATTGCTGTGACTAGAGTTTTCACAGAGAACTAATATCGCCACATTCGTGGGCAGACTGTAAACATTCAACACCAATTTCAAGTGAAACAGATGTTTGTTAGATTGTATTTATGAAAAATAAATAAAAAAACTACAAAATCTAGGAGATAGACATAAATAGTACCCTGCTCCTCAGTTACCACTAAATAACATACTGTGCACAGACTAAGAGTCATCAGAACATTCTTGCGGACCACTGTTCCATTGAAAACGTGGCTGCAGCTGGAAAATCTAAACCAGTCTCTGCAGTTTCCTAATGGTTTAAAGAAGTGGAGAAGATGCAGTAAGAAATCAGCACATCAGTATTGCAAAAAACAACAACATGCTGCAGGTCGATCCTGAAAGATCGCACACTTTAGGTATCATAGCCATTTCAAATCCACTGTAGATACTCCCAGTGTAACATCACAAGGTTTATTTATTTCTTTGTTTGTTTTGACTGCGCTCGGGGATTTGCTTATGTGAAGCTGTGAGCTCTCCAGAGTAACTTTGTACACTGATGAAGCCATTATGTGGAACACTTTGAAGCTTCCCTGCAGTGTTAGATTGCATTTATTCTGTGGTTGTGAGATTTTGTAAATATATTGAGGAACTGGAGTGACCCACACGTCAGGTGGAGTGGGAGTAAATGTGAGAGTTTTTACTGTTCAAGGTATCATTGCTTACTCTCCCATTGATGCATTATGAGTGTGATTTTCTCATGTGGGGGGGGTCACATGTTTCCTTCACAAGGGCCAAAAGGCTCCTGACTTGGCAGGGAAAACAGGCCCAATGAATGAGTTTCTTACTCAAGGCAGCGTCAGCCTCGGCCTTTTGATCTTAAATCTTAAAGAAACCTTTAAACAGTGAAAAAGAGACTCTGGAAAACAAACAAGATATTTGTACGATGAATTTTGAACTTGGTTTTCTTTTGTGATTGAACACATTAAGAAAATGACTTTGAGGTGTCACTAGTCTCTCAGAATCAAACAGCATCTCTCTGTGGCAGCAAAGGAACATGAGTGTTCTGTGGAGGTTCTGGGTGAGAAGCAAGAAGCAAAGACCCAAAGTGGACAGAAACCCTCCTAAGGAATAGAGGACCTGTAAGGGTTAATGAGCCAAACAGGGAATAAAGGAAGAAAACAAGTAAACTACACCATGGAAAAAGACAAAAAGGTTAATGTTTTTCCTTTTTTCAGATTATCTGGGACAACTTCTACCATAAAACACCCACTCACATCTGAGATTGGCAGCTTGAGGCTTCAGTGTGTTTCATACAAAGTGCTTTTTGAATTGTTCAACATTGTCTGAGACCGCATATGAACCAACAACAATCTGATACTCCACCCATACTTTTTTGTATCAATGTGGTCAGCTCTCTATAATTAAAGGAAGGAAATTACAACATCTGAAAAGCATTTTTACAAGAGGGACTCAAGTATGTGTGTCTCACAAGCAAAACTGGTTGTATATTTTCCTTGAGCCATTATGATCTGACATCAGAATGGTAGATGGAAGAAAAGGTCCAGGTTAGCTAGGTCAGCAAAATGACCTGCATGAATCATTTACTTGAGAATGATCGGTCTGTAATTGTTGAAGTGAAACTCATCTGTTTATGCAGAGAGCTGTGGGATGCTCCTGCAGCTTGCATTCTGTCCTGGAGAAGCTCTCCAATAGTGACCTGTGCAGAGTTAGTATACATGTACCAGTAGACTCACAACAGCCACATGTGTAACAAAACAAGTTGAAATATAGTTTGTACTTCTGTCCCTTCACATCAAAAGAGTTGTGATGAGTATGTTTAGTTAAGATGGTTTGGACAGGATGACTCCTGAACGCCTCCCAGTGGAAGTATTATGAAAACATCCAACTTAGAAGGGACAATGGGACAGACCCAGAACACTGGAGGGATGCCATATCCCATCAGGCCTAGACCACTTGATGCATGGATGGGCTGTGCACTAATGAATGAAAAGACCCCTTCCTCAGTGTGCTACACTCCCCCTACAGTAATTCATCTCAGACCTGATCTTCATGACATGTGTGCCACTATCAGTTTGCCTGTTGCCCTAAGAAAGTCGAGCCTTTACAAAGAGGTATTCTCAAAGAATTTGAGGAACAGTGTGTTGGTACTCCACAAGAACTCAGACATTCACGTTTATACATTTTGCACATTCTACAAGTGAAACCTCTTTGACATCGAGCAGCTACAGATGTACCAGACAAATTGGACTGGAGTAACACTCACATGAACCAATATGACAGAGCCTCCTCCTGGGGTCTTAATCACTATATGTTTCCCCTCCATGAGAGGATTACATAACAGGATTTATGACAAGGATCCCCACCAGTCAGATGAGCAGATGCAGTTAAATTCAAAACTTAAAGGTTCCATTTCGACCTCATGCCAAGCCGTTTTCATTTTGGAAGGATGTTTTTGACTTCAGCTAAGGTTTTTCTTATTTGTCTATGACCAAATCCCTTCCTCGCCACATTGTTAGAATTGCCTGACCTTTTCACGAGGTGAAGGCTGTTAGTTTGTTTTGTTGCTGTACAGTATGTTGCAGAGGGAATGTTCTGATGATTCAGAGAGACAAAGCAAATACTCTGTTGCATTCTTAAATGACACTGAAGAGTTTGCACAAACTCGTGCTCAAAAGGAATGTGAGGTACATCATCTTTCAATCAGATGCATTCTGACTGTCACACATAGATCACACACATGTGAGCAAAGGCAGGAGCCACTTACGTGAAGCGTTCATGTATGATTAACAACAGAAGTTGTGCAGTCTTGGCTTTCATGAAGTTCAAATGGATTGTTCTAAACTGTAATGCTGCACCATTGGCCATCAAGCCACGCAACACTTCACTGTTTATCATTTCTCAGTAAGCCTGTCAACATGATTCAAAGCAGCCAGCTGGCAAGTTAGACAGTCTGCAAGACAGCCAGCCAGAAAAAAAGGTTGTGTTTATGTGGACTCCATAGAGTTTGTGTGAGTGTGTGTGTGTGTGTGTGNTGTGTGTGTGTGTGTGTGAGTGTGTGTCTAGTGGTCCCACTGTTAAAGGCTATATCATTGCTACTGTGTATGAATTTTGAACTGAATCTTTTCCTCTATTTTGCTCTTCCATCAGGCCTCTCTGACTTATTGCCAGGGCTGTAAACAAAGTTA